AAATAAAAAGTTGACGTTTTCTGCGAATTGTCATAATTTGACATTATTGGCGCACATTACCTAATATTCAAACCCATTTCCATGCTTAAAAATAGAAGATGGTGACATTCATTTAAAAGAAAACCATAACTACTTTTACCAGGTGAAAAATTTCAATATGTTAAAATAATTCATGATTTTTAAGAAATGTGCTAGAAATGATACTACAATATTATTATTCTTTTTATGTTTGATTTTCTAATAATGATTTTATATACTTTTAGATTCAAGGACAGCTAGGTATAGCTCAAAGAAAATTGTGCTACTTTGTAGTATATACTGGAGATGAAAATCCACTATTTGTTGAAAAAATTAATTTTTAACCCATTTTTTTTTTTTTCAAAATATGGTTGAAAAATTAGAAAAATTTCACTCGGAATATATGGCACCTGAGATAATTTTAAATAGAAGAGGACGAGGATTAAAATGTCTGGATACCCCATATAATGAAAATTAAAGTGCAAAGATTAGCAAATTTATAAAAATAATAATTTAATGGACTTTAATGATACAAGTACTTGAAATAATGGTTTTTTGCGCATAAGCATGTTCATACGTAATTTGCAATCGGTAATCACTAATCACAGATGGAAAAGTATATACGTCAACGATACGTTCTCTTATTTTTGATTTATTTTAACAGGTATAATATATGGTATGTTACTTATAGTATAGATTTTTTTATTTCTTGATTTGTTACGTCTTCAGCAATTGTCGCTTTCAGTTGGCATAAACGAAATTGATTAAAAAGTGTTTTTCGCATTTTATTTTGACTGTTTCTCTTACTTTCGAATAGAAACTGAGCTTTGTAAACTTAAAATGACGGATATGTCAAACTAAAACTGACGGTAAAGTGAAACATTGAGTATCGTTAAATGCAACTTTTGAACTAGTTTCAAAAATAAAATGATATTATCATTCACAATGTACTAATTTCCTATACTTTTAGTTGATAAATAACCGATAATCATACATCATATAACAAATAGGCGCGTGTCAAAAGGTCACCGGCGAAAAAAGAGTGCCGATGAAAAAAGGTCGTTTCCAATTGTATCATATAAACAGTATCAGAGGCAGTATAATCATCTCGTATATCCCCCGTAAACACACATAATATAAACGGAAATAATCAAATACTAGTCAAAATATTATCGATCGGAGCACCATCTTTATTACATTACATGAAGTAATTATTGATTTTTCGGGGTTTATTTAGAGTTAAATTAGACGCCATTTTTGGTCCAAATTCGTATTGACATGTTTTTTCAAAGAAAGTGACTTATAAATTTCAAATCTACACGTTTTGAAAAATATACAATATTTAAATATTCTGAGTCTACCAAATTCCAAGTAAAGGTTGAACTTAGGTCGTATTACATTTTTTTTTTATTATTTGTTTGACATCGAGGTTAAAATAATTCTACACGGTACCTTTGAGATGAAATAAAAGGGGGTTATTTTACATGATTGGTTTTTATTGAAAATAATAAATTTATTAATTTTCAATAGTAAGGTGACCTAAGTTAGACCTTTATTTTTAATTTGGCCAAAAATTAGATTTTTAAACACTACATATTCGGAAAACTGTCGATTTAACTTTTGGTCTACACATACACTTTTAATACACAGGGATACCCCGTCCTTAAGTAATAACACTTCAGAAACTTTGGAAATAAACAAATAAAAACATATATACATACCCACTAATTTCTAGTAGGACATCTAGCTAAAAGGCCAATTAAATTTTAAAGACTCTTTTACTTGGATAGTTTGTACATCTTGTGAAGTAGTTAAATCCAAAAAATAGCCCTAATCAACTTTAGTCGTTTAGTCGAAAAAAAAACAAAAAATCGAAAAAAAAAATCAAAAATCGAAAAAATCGGAAAAAAATCGAAAAATAAAAAAACCGAAAAATCGAAAAAAAATCGAAAAATCGAAAAAAAATTTGAAAAATCGAAAAAATCGGAAAAAAATCGGAAAATAAAAAAACCGAAAAATCGAAAAAAAAAATCGAAAAATCGAAAAAAAATCGAAAATTTGCAAATTATCCAATTATCCACAAAGCATTTTTGACTTTAGGTGTCTACTTAAATGACACTTTCTTTTTTTGCAAATTATATAATGCTTTAAGCTTATCAGCAGCTATTGGCAAAAATTTATGGTAATAATTCAATGCCAACAGTCAGAGGTGGCAACTGTTCTTTGATCCTGAACATAAAACAATATTTACAGTATAAGCTGCAGGCCAGTTGCAGATACCTATTTTGTTGGTAACGTCAAATAGGTTTTCAGACATCAATTATAAAAATATAGTTTTTATGAATGAAAATGTTGCCAAAAATATTACATTTTTTATCCAAGCGCATCGAATGATCCTATTTCCGTAAAACTATGACAAACGGAAAGTTGGTATATATAATCAAACTCATTTAAAAGCATACATAGCCTAACTTGGAAATCGAACTTTCAAAGTTTTATCGCAATCTCCACACATCCGACGTTCACATATAAATCAGCGAGTTTCAGTTGGGTCCACCGGTATAACAAAATGCAAGAAACTTCTTCGGGTTCTGTTATTTGAATGGACGGAAAGGGTGATGGCGGGGCGGAAGAGGGAACGAGTTAGTCTCCGTCCGAGTTCCGGTGCACCAGCGTCTTTATATTGCCAATATCACAAAAGTTACGGTCTTAAAACTATCCAATGCGAGTTTTAGAGACTGTTTCTTTGTTATTTTGGATTGAAATAGAGTTTTTATGTATCTCTGAGAAAATAACTAACAAGGCGGCATAGGAGGCATAGTGGCTATATAAAATTTAAAAAACTGTAAACAGAGTTAAAAAAATTGTAGGATTTATAGAGGCACTTTTCTAATCGTCTGTTGTGGATCTGGACATAATATTTGAGCACACTGATCCACTTAAAGATGGAATCACCTTTGTAAAATGTAATGTGAAATTTCCTGAATTTTTGGCATTTTGTGCAGATGTCGACTTTCTGAACAATAATGACCATGGGCGCAACTCAATCCTAGTTTTTGATATAGGTACAGGGCGTTGAAGTTGCATCGGCATTTTTAATCCTATTTACATAGAATAAGTTAATAAATATGTTTAAAAAAAAACAATAATTCGTCTGTTTAATTAGGCAAATAAAATAACTACTCATTATTATAAAGTTGACAAATATTACACTTGCAAAGATTATTTGCCTATTCTTCTTGTAATGCGTAGCTATTTTTATGGCAATTCGATGCGAAGCAAGGGCTCCTCTGATAATTATATAATTAATTTAGAATTATAAAATTCGTAATAATTTTAAAAATTAATGTTTTCAAATTATAAAACCTTCTCAATCAACGTTGGGCGCCAAAATGTAACGTCACGTCAAAACCGTAATGACAAATGGGGTATTTCTGCGGATAGCTTAAATCGAAGGAGCTTTCGTCCGATAATTAAAAATATCTTTTTAGGGGCGCCAGATGAATTTGCTCTGATACAAATCAGCCACCAAATCAACAAATTTATGTTAGGGTCAAACAAATCCACTAGGAAAATAAGACTGAAATAAAACTAAAGAGCTTAGTTGGCTTTATCTATAAGCGAAAAAGAAACGAACAATATCAACGTTACCACGTGTGCTGTACGACGTGAATAGGAATCCAGAGAGAAATGTTCCCACACGCCTGCATTAGACAATAGCAAAGCGCATTAAAAAGCGTTTAATAAACAACAATATACTTGTCCCACACATATGATATTTATATCAAAAATGTTCTTAATATTTACAACTTCTAAATATATAATCAACTATAAACATAAATATTACATTTTTCAAAGGAATAAAATAAAAATTGTAAAGAATACCATACACTTAACGTTAAAGATGATTTAACTCAAACTACGTAGAGTTCAAACACTAATATATACAAATATACCCAATAACATGATGGTATACTAAATCTAAAATATTAAATAGGACCTAGTCCCTGTGATCTTTAAATAATTTGTTAACAAACAAACTTGTCTCTTTATTCTGATTTTCCTGAGTAGAATATGTGCTATAAGGCTTACTAATTTATATCACATAAATATCTAACTGTTCACGGTGGAAGTGAACTCACTAAACTCAGCTGATAGGCAAAGAAGTTCTATTCAGCACTCGATAAGTCAACTGCTTCAGAGCTTTCCCAGCAATCCAGAAACACAACAGTTACCAGCAAGAGCTTTGGTAGTCTAAACAAAAACAAAACTACAATTTGAAATAAAATAAACACCAGGTCATGAAAAACTAATCCCTAGCATTATCTTAATAAAAATTCCACGTTTCAATACTATAAAATAATAAAATCCCAATCTTAAATCATCACTAGCTCGCTGCAACAAATTTAAGTAATAACACTTCAGAAACTATGGAAATAAATAAATAAAAACATATATACATACCCACTAATTTCTAGTAGGACATCTAGCTAAAAGGCCAATTAAATTTTAAAGACTCTTTTACTTGGATAGTTTGTACATCTTGTGAAGTAGTTAAATCCAAAAAATATCCCTAATCAACTTTAGTCGTTTTGATACGGAAAAAGGATGGATGCCTTCAAAATTAATGTTGATAAAATGCAAATTCTGTTATTTCTTTCTTGATTATCATAGCATCAACTGCCTTTTTATTTTCCATAGGTCTACACTCGAACACTTAATTCAACAAATATTTTTGACATGTTCAATTATCTTGCAAGGATCCTCTTTAATCTTTTGAGTGAAAACAAAATTTCTTGATTATAGGAAACTATAATTGTAAAGGTCTAAGGAAATTGAGGCCTAAAGGGTCCAAATTAGTTGTATCAAAAGTTTGGCAATCAAACTAGCAAATAATTACAAAATAATTTTATTTACATACATTTTTATTTACATATATTTAACTATTTACAAAACATATCGTAAAATATTTAACAAAACAACAAGTGAAACTGAAACTCCAAACGATTGTGCACCATTATGTCCTTTCATACCATGAAATATTAAACATTCGTGAGACTTCAACGTTATCTTATCAGACAGCCAACTCCTAAAAAATAATAGATTTTTTATCGTGTAATCAAACATTTTGTTAAAAATATATTTTTCCTACGACCACTTAGGGAAGTGACACATATCACACTATATAGTCCTATGGAAAGTGCCTTATATCACACGCGTATGAATAAGAATTTACTTTCCACCCGTGTACGAATATGCTACTTTCCGCAGTAGCTGTCATAAAATGTCAAACAAATAATTTCTATTTTGATCTATGTAATGTCCATATTAATACTAAAATCGATATGATTGTTAAATTATTGAAATTGTTGTAAATTAGATTCTAGATATTTATCTTTAACAATTATTATTAAAATAATTTTAAAATAACTAAGATATTATGTTTGCTCTTTATTCTGATTAAATACATAACTGATTAGATCATTCAATTAACGTAAGGGCTATTAGCTCAGTTGGTTAGAACGTCGAACTTATCAACTTTACCATTTGAGGACTGGTGAGCGACCGCGTTCAAATCCTGGGCGGCCAAAATTTTTTTGTTTTTTTTTATTTTTTTTGAAGTGTTTTTTTGTTTAGAAAATACGAAAATTGAATTAATACGATTATTGTTGATTATTTTTTTAAATACATTTTAATTAATATAGTAATAATAACCTGGTTTTACATTTTTTGATGACAATATTTTGTGGTCGTAGGAAAAATATTGTTCATTACTTGTGTGAAAAGTGATTTTCCACACTCGTGTGATAGTCGCACTCGGCTTGTGCCTCGTGCGACAATATTTCCCACTCCTGTGAAAAGTGTCCCTTTCCACACTCGTAATGTAATATACTATTAAATTAAAATACAATTTAAACGAATTCTGCAAATGATTTATAACAATATTAGTTAATTTAAGAGTATTATTGTATTCCTCATGTGATTTTAAAATGTGGCATGTCGTGTTTCTTGCTTGCTGTTTGTAGTTAGATCATAGGGGAGGGATGAACAACATGAACTATGTCCCGGTGGTGGGAGCTATTGTGTAACCTGTCAAATTTAAATTAATGTTTCATATCGATGAACTTTTTCTTTTTTGCTGGCAATGAAATAATTTGTTTCTATACGTGTACAACAAGAAAAAAATCCCGTTGCAAGCATTTTCTGTCGTCCGGTTTTGCTACTTTTGGTGTAAGAGTAGGAATTTTCGTACATCGACATGGAGTTCCACCAAATGCGACATCACTGTCTCACTGGTAAGACATACCATTGTATTTCAGACTGAAACACATACAATCGAGTAGTGTGTATGAGATAATTTAAGAGGAAAGTACAAAAAACAATCTTTATTCTCTCAAACAGAGAAACAGCCTTCGAGTCTAAGCTGGTCTGGAAGTGCCTTGGAATCCTTAATGATCTGGCAATCCATAATAAGGTAAAACTAGCGGACATACAGGTGTCCAAGGAAATAAAAATGCTGATTAACTCGCTAAAAAAGGGTTAGATGTACCATTCACAGGATCCAAACCTGTATTTGGGAAAAGCAAAACTTCTGCTCGACAGACAGTGGGAAGATGGATAACAACTAAATACAAACTTACTGGCAATTGTATTTTATATTCGGGTAAATGCTTTTAACTTACACACAATCATCAAATTTATCCTAAAAGGTGTTATGTGCTAACATACAATTAAAATAGGTAAAAAATTGCAAAATTGACATCTATTAGATAACATCAGATTAACGAAAAATGCGCTCCCTTACCATTACTATCAAACTTAAAAACAAAATGACATTTGCGGTTGTATAATTGGAACTTAGGTTAGAAAACGTAACAACAATAAATTTTGATAACTTTAAGCGGAAGTAGAATTTACGCAATAGTAATAGAGATCAACAATAACGGGAAAGTTCTTATAATTATTGGAGATTATCAATATTCGTCTGCGAGGCGTGACAAGCGTCTCTCGTGGTATACATAAGACATATTAAATAGACGTTAACAGATGACGTTGACAAATAGAGAGGAGAGGAATGTCTGTAAATGATTTCAGAGTGAACCGAACTGAAACGTACAAATCATCACTTATATCTAAATAATGTAATAATTACAATACAATTGCTGATATATTTTAAGTATTTATAACTTTCATATGTTTTTATTTGATCTAAGATTTCCAATGATGGAATCTAGTAGACGTAAGTTTTGCACTGTTTATTATCTTTTTATAACACATAACATAACACCTTTTGGGATGGCTAAAATTTTAATTTTTACACACTGACGTATTCACTCTACTTTTCACCTCATATTTAATGTGTAAACCATTCCCAGTCTATTTATCTAATAAGCTTAATGGCTTTGATTTCGCAAACGATTTCGGTAAATGAACTCCTATTCAAAAATACCAGAGATACAGTAAACGCCAAATCTAAAGAACCAGCGGAAATGCTAAATTTCGTTTACTTAAAAATCGCCACGCCTATTCACAATTTGAACCTTGTCCTTGCTTACGGTCAGTAGCGTAACGACTAGATCATTGTTTGTTTTTGTTTCTTTGTTTTGGTTAAAGTGGCTAGTTTTATTTTTGATACTGTCTTCTATTGTAGGTGAAAAAAAGCGCAGATCTGTTATTAACGGACAAAGTAGTGAAGTAATATACAATTTTTTTTAAATATTTTGATGCAACAAAAAAGGAAGGAGTTACTTTAGATGTTATCAAACTTCAAACTGCACAAGCAACAGGTAAATATACTCTGTAGTTTATTTACAATTAAACTTGCGTAGTTTTCCATATTGTTTTGTATTTTACACACATATCTATGCATTTTATTTTTGATTAATATTTTATATTTAAATTTTTAAAATTTATCTTCTGTTTCTAAAAAATTTTGTTTCCTAATAAATGTAAAAAAAATACTAAATTTAACAATAATATATTACGTTTTTACAGGTGTTTCTTATACTACCGTCAAAAGATTTTTGAAGGAAGGTAAACAGTCAATGGAAACAACTGGAAAAATTACATTTTCCACACCTAGGAAAAACTTCGTCAAAAAATCAACCGCTACGAATCTCCCTGAATATCAATTGAGAGACATTCGAAGAATAATTTACGATTTTCATACAACAGAAAAGTCTCGTGTTACTGTTAAAAGGTTAAATAATAAAATTAAGGAAGATTTAGATATCCACATATCAGAAACTTCATTAAGAAGAGTCCTTAAAAAATTACAATTTAAATGGAGAAAAACACAAAATAATCGTAAAGGTTTGGTGGAAAAAATGAAAATAAGAACTTTAAGAGTAAAATATTTGAGACAAAAGTCTAAATAGACCAATCGTTTATTTAGATGAAATATTATACACAGCGGACATACTTCTTCCAAGAATTGGACAGACGATTCAACAAAAGGTTTGTTTTCTGTTATTTCTAAAGGCCAACAGCTTATTATAGTTCACGGTGGGGGAGAAATGGGTTTTATCAAAAATAGTTTGTTGATATTCAAATCAGGGACCAAGTCTGGAGATTATAATTCCGAAATGAATTCGGAAAATTACGGCAAATGGTTAAGAGAGAAGTTAATACCTAATCTTCCACCTAATTCAGTAATTGTTTGTGATAATGCTAGTTATCACAATGTACAGACAAATCGAGCACCTAATTCCAATTCTTTGAAGAATGATATAATCGAATGGTTGACAAAATCCAACATACCTTTTAATCCAACAAGTTTGAAACCAGAGTTATATGAACTGATTAAATCTCATAAGGACCGACATGTAACATATGCATTTGATGAGTTGTGTCGAGAATACGGCCACACCGCTTTACGGTTACCCCCATATCACCCCGACTTGAACCCTATCGAATTGATTTGGGCAACTGTTAAGAATAATGTCAGTCAAAGGAATGTTACCTTTAAATTAGAAGACGTAAAACAATTAGCAGAAGAATAATTTAATAAAATCGGTATGGAGGAATGGAAAAAGAGATGCGATCATGTTATAAAGGTAGAAGATAAATATTTTGAAAGAGAAATACAAACTGATTTATGTTCAGAAATTAATCCTATCGTCATTAATCCTAATGAGAATTCCAGTGACGACAGTGACGAGTCTTCTTCCAACGAAGAATCTGACGAAGACATATAAACATTATTTATTTGTGATTTACTTTTTACGTTGTTGTGGATGGAGAAGGCAATGGGCTGATTACAGTTATTGTTGATGGAGTGTGGTCGAAACGTTCATATAAAGTTAACTACAATGCTTTATCAGGAGTGGTAAGTATTTAATACCATTTCATTTTAATTTCTTGATAGTTTCGGCCTTTACTTGATGAAAATCCATATTATTAAAATGAGAAAAACCAAACATGGTAGATTTTCACACTTTTATTTAAAGAAATAAAAATTAAAAATTTTACGATAATTGTTTCTAAGTACAACTTCTTCTTCATTTACATAATTTTAAATCAATTTATTTCAAGTGTTTCTAAATGGTTTAATTTAAATTCTTTATTCTCAAAATGTGAAACAATTTTTGCATAAACGATTGATTTTCAGATAAAAATATATTTTGTCGAATAATTTTTGTTTTTAGTATAACTATTGTAATGTTTTAAATAAATCTTTTTTTGAAACTACGGCCCGTTTGACCAATACACAATTTTACCACAATTTAATTTATTTGAATAAGGATAATGTCCTGATCGTAACAGAATTTTATATGAATACCGAACGGAAAGCGGTAGAACAGCCTTAACCTAAAGTCGGCTTACTTAAAAATAATGATTTTTTAATTGATTATAGATTTATGTACTAATAATAACACTAAGCAATATGTATGAACAAGTATCATTTACTATTTTCCATTTATTTTATGTTTTAAAATATACGCGCCCCTGGTTTGCAACTTTCTAGGTAAGCTACCAATTCTATTCATCGGTAGGCGTGTTCGTAGCATTATAAATGCGCGTCTTTGGTTCTTTAGATTTGGCGTGTACTGTACCAGAGAATAAAATCCTAATTAAAAAAATTATTTGTTTATTTTATAATTCTTTCTGTCGTCTCGACCCACGCTGAGTGTTATTTATTATGTTTAATTAGATTAGATTTAATTAGGACTGTGGGCCATGTGGCCTCCCCCACTTTGACCTTTTCAGATCTATTATGGATATCCTTGAATCGTTGTTTAGAGTACCTTGTCTAATTTGGTCTTTTCGATATTATACATATGTTTATTAAGCCTACAATGCCCTGGTAATAGACCTACTACTACTCTAGTATTTTTCCTATGAAGGCTTGGTAGATGCTTGGTGAGTTAAGGCGATGGTCCTTTTAAGAACTCTTTGGCCTGTCTCTGTCCTGGAGAGGTTTTCCACCACTCCTGAGATTTTTTAAACATCCACTGCTTTGTGCATGTTCTGATAGTTGTGTTTGTTACACCACACAAGTGTTCTGGGCCAATAAGAGCATTTGAGGCTTCTTCTCAGGCTAGTCAATCATCCTCTCCATTGCCCTTATGTCCTCTGTGGCCTGGTACCCAGGCTAAGGTTAGTCTGTTAAGACTATGCAGCTCTGTTAGGGCTTCCAAATAGTCTCACACAAGCGCATGGAACTGAGTGCCTTTAACGTCGATTGACTGTCTTAGTATATGACAATAATTTTTTTAATTACCTTCTGTCTTAATACCTCTTCTGCGCAGTGATGTATTGCAACTATTTCTGCCTGGAATACTGTCGCATGTTGACCTAAGCTCAGTGAGATTATTGTCTTTGGCTTGGTACTATATATACCTACTCCTGAACCTTTATGGGTTTTGTAGTCGTCTGTATACCAGGTTAATTCTACATGAATAGGAGGTCCTCCCGTCCACGCTTCCCTGTCTGCTATACCTACTTTATATTACTTTTAAAAGCTATACTTTGGGAGCATTTCATCTGAAGACATTCCCATTATTTGGTCGTTCTCCAACTCTTTATATTGGTCGCTGTAGTCACGTCCATGCAAACAGCTTTATTTATTATATTCCCTCCAAATCCTTCCTATAATAACAATTTATGATCTCTTTCACTGGTCTATCGTCGGCCGCAGAAAAATAGAGGCCCTCATCACTATGAAAACGACGTACGTCTTGTAGTCAAATTCTTTTAGCACAGAATAAATACTTCTATTTTTTTTTAGTGTGGATTAGGGCGCAATTTTTTTACGCGGCCGCCCAACATTTAGAATTTAGATAATGGTGGGTGAGGCGCCTGTTTTACTTTTTTAAAGTTGTTTTATAATTTTTACAGAATTTTTACGAAACACCATGCTAAATGATGGAGATAAATAATTTCGATGAAAACGTCAGGAAAAAATTTATTTCAGTGAAGAATCTTAGAGCTGATTTCAATACAAGGGAATCATGTCATGAACTTTAGATTTTCATATTTGATTTGTTTTAGAATAATTATTTCTGTAAGACGTTTTACTGTAAGAAATATATTTAATTTTGTTTATTGACTATTGACAAGTTTCAGTGTGTAGTGTAGTATTTTTTCTGTTAATAAAAAAATAATTATAAAAACAAATTTTCCATAATCCCCACCCTCAAGCCAATTTGCCCCACCCCCACCTTCGCAGCTCACGAGCCGCCACTGATGAACTCTCATTAAAATGGCAAATCACTAAATGACTTTTGTTCGCAAAGCCCACCCGATATTTTGATATTTTTTTATAGAGTTGTCATTTATGCCAAAAATTTTGAAACGTACGTTATTTTTTATAATTACTATACTATTACACTAATTAGTGTAGCACACATACTTTGATTTTCTTTTACTATACGGAGAATGGTCGCACTGCGCAGCTTTCTGAGTGCCTTTTAAAAGGAGATAGAAAACTCCGCCATTTTGAACCCTTATTACGCGTTGCCTACATTTTGGCGCAATATTTTTAATAGGTGCGTTTTAATCATCCGCTTCTGCTTCGGAATTGTCGGTTTTCTTGTTTTAATCTGACAGGTTAAAACGACTAAACAATTCCGGAAGCAGAAGCGGATGATTAAAACGTACCTGATATTTTGCTTGCTATGCTGCTGTCAGTGTCAGTGAATATTATTTTTGAAGTCACAGTTTATTGCTAAAGAATCAGTTAGCTCACTCGGACCAGTTGAAAGTTCCAAAATAACATCCACTCCAGGGATACAAATTCAGGATACGCAGACGACTGCTGTTTTATTATAGGCAGTTATCATATATTGTATTATCCGAGTTGCACAGTGTATAAACTGAAACATTGAGATCAAAAGTGCCGACGCAGAGTGAGCGATCTGATTCTTTAGCTGTAAACTGTGTCACAGGGTTCAAAATGGCCGCGCCCTATGTTAGGCGTGTCGGACCTCTCTCTTGCCTCGTATAGTAATCAAAGTATGTGGTGTAGCAGCTCAAAATAGTCTAGAAAAGTGGTGAATCCAAGTTATGAAACTATGGTTATGTATTAAATTTAAAATTATTTTTTAACAAAATTTTAAGTAAAAAATCAAAATTGGGAATTGTTAGAGGGTAATTTGAAAAATGTCAGAAATCTTAAGAATTATTGCTTTTTTTAAAGTATCTGAATTGTTAGAAGAAAGAATAAAAATAAAAAAATATATGTAAAATATTTTTTTGCAGAGATTGAAAGACAGAGAGAGCAGTGAAGGCGTAATGAGAGCTGTCGGAGCAGATTCCTAGTAGAGGCCAGTAGATAGTAAGCAGATGATAGAAGGAAAATTTTGTATTTATTTTTTTTATACATTTTTAGAAACGAATCACCCATTTTGAGAATCTGTTCAAAATTGAAAAAAAGATAATGAAATTTAATTCATATTCCTATATCAATACATACACCTATATAATTATTATCTACTTACATAACTTTACGATTACTGTTCGAACTAGTAACTAATACCATATATCGACTTGTTTTCTTATAGAAATCAACAACTTCGTCCTTTTCACCCATATTAAAGAGGTATACATACTCTACATTATCTCTTTGGCGAACAATTTGTAAAATCGTGTCGGACACTCTGATAATGGCCAGATAATCAACAGCGGTTACAGTTTTGAAATGTTTTTTTCTGAAATTGACTAACTGTTTATAAACGTTGAAGTGGCTTTTGAGTCCTTTTTTATCTTGCGCCTTTAAATTTATAGTACTTTTGCTTGAACCAACCGGCAGCCATGTTTTATCTTTTGTATCGGAAAATCCAGCGAACTCAGAATCGTCCCATTGAAAAGGTGTTCGTTCGAAATCTCGACTTGTTTCGTTAAAGGTCGTTTCATTCTTTAGAGCAGCAGGATCTGCACCCTCTTCATATGTGACCTCGCCGTCTGGCATTCCAATTTCCTCACCATTGTAAGTTACCATAACTCCTGGAAGGAAAGCTGTCAACATGTTGAAACCATCTACATTGGCTTCTCCTAATCGTGATGCCACTCTGTGGTTGTCATGGTTGCCTAACTAAAAAAAAATATTCTAAGGAATCGCAAAAAAACGAGTACAATACTAATGTAGTAGTTTTCAAACTGATTTTTGACAGAGATTATGATAGGAGCAAAAAAAATATTAAAAACAAAATTTATCACTGAAAGAAACATGCTCATTTATGCAGAGAGCAGACAAGCACTACTCATATTAAATATGTAGGCTGACTGAAGAGCTAAGAGTGGCCTATAATTTTAGAAGGAGGTACAATGGGTCTAGTGAGGCCTAAGACCATGGGGTATCCCACCCTCCGTATGTTACAGATATAGCAACCAAGAAAGAATATGATTTACTCAAATACTCAACTATATTAGAAGAACACAGGAAAAGGAAATAGGATAACACAAGTACAAAGATATAGCGGCATGATCATCAGCACCCAACCAAAAATGCTACTTTGGCATACAGAATGCTTTACAAGTCATTACCAGTTGCATCCCACTTGGTCTACTGGTAAACTTAAGATGCAGATACTATTAAAAAACAGAAGAAAATATTCAAGTGGAGAAAAGGTATAAAACCCTACAATTCTGCCAAAATGAGATCGGTGATAAATACAAAAAAAGGCAGCTTGGACACAATGGCTAATACCGACTGAGAGTGGGTTAATTGTAAGTTTAGTAGAACAGATTACTTCCTTGATCTACTTTTGATAAGTCATGGGTCTTTTCGAATATATATACATAAAATCGAAAAGACGGACGACAGCCTGTGTATACGATATAGAGGAAGACACACCTAACAATACACCTAACAGAAAATTTACAATGTTTTACAATAAATCTTGAAGGCTACAATACCATCATACTTGAGCTCTAGGGATTCTAGGGAGTAACTGCAGACTAGAAAGAATTCAGAGGAGTATAAAAAAACTGGCTCATTCAAAGGAGTTATGATTTATTGAATTAAATACTTACCACCCAATTGCTTGTAGCTCCTTTCGGTAGGAATACCAGCCATTTATTAACAGCATTAGAGACATCGTCAACTGTATATTTTTGATTTAAATATACGATAAAATTAAAATTAAACGTAAAATGAGCACCCTTTCTAGTGCCGTCAAGAGATTGGTAATATAACATCGTATTTTCTATACTTGAATAAGCTTCAGTCATTATAACTCTAAAATGTAAAAATAACAATAATGAAAATATTTGATGAATAATTATTTAATTATAATAAATGTATTGATAATAAGGCTTAAGTGTAAACCGAACAAGAGACTATGAAATCATTTGGATGCAAAAGATTTGAATCAAAGCGTTTTATTCGACGAATTATCTAACATAATGTAACTATTCCCTGTTTAATTAAATATTAACTCATTTAGGAAGTGTCTTTTAGTTGCTTAATTACTATACGATCAAACAGCTAAATCTTTGGAATGATAATGTGCGGATATTATAAATATTGATATAACTGCAAAGCTCCCCTTCCAGGAAAACTATATCTTATTGAGTTACCTACAAACGAGCAATATCTTACCCATTCTGATTATGTGATTACCTACAAGGCTCCATGACAAATCAGCGCAGGACAAAATGACGCAGTACAAAATAACGCAGACAAAACAGCGCAGGACAAAATAGCACAGCATAAAATAAGACATAAAAGCGCGAGTTAAAATATTCTAGTAGTCTAAATAAAATTAAAAAAAACTTAAACTAATTTATCTAACCTGGGCGGCCTAAAGCCATCGCATGTTGCTTTAAAAAACAATAAAATTGGAAAAATAAAAAATTGTAACTAATTTACCTAACCTCTGCGGCCTGGAGCCATATGCAGCAACTCGTCATGGCTCCAGACCGCACAGGTTAGGTAAATTAGTTTAGGTTGTTTTTATTTTACTTTTTTTTGAAAAAGTGCTAACTCAACTCTCTATAATTAGACTGGGCGTTAATTGATCTCACTTTGTTCATATCAGGCGCTAATTTTTCTCTCACGTATTTGTCTCGCCGAAAATTTGTCGCACCAAATTTGTCCCTCGCTAAATTTGTTTGCTCTAAAATGGGTCAGATCCTAAAATGTGACAGAATTAGCATTAGAATACTAGAATATTTTGACACGCGCTTTTATGTCCTGCGCTATTTTGTCCTTGCGCTATTTTGTCCCGCGCCATTTTGTGCTGCGCTGTTTTGTCATGGGGCCAATCTACAATATAATTACTTACCTAGTCTCATTTTCTTTTTTTTCTTTAACATATTCATCAATAAATTCTCTAAATTGATAAATCATATCGTAAGTTTTATCTAGATCTTTCATTATTAGAGTTTTATCTTGGCATATTGATAAATCTTTGCATTCTGTATATCCCCTGGCAAGAGGAGCATCTTTGAACTCAGGATCTTCAAAAAGATAAGGCACTGCATCCATCCGAAAACCGTCTACACCTTTGTCTAACCAAAACCTCAAAATATCCTAAAAAATATTTTAAGTGTAATTAAATATGTCAAATTATTACTAGTTTAAGGTTGACGAAGAGTATTCCTTCTGAAGCTTTATGATTATATGCAGCTATCCAATGGTGCTTTGAAATGTACCTGACGGAGAGTTGCCTCCTAACTAATGTATTTTAATGAAAAACTTTTAATGTTACACTATTAGATGATCTTGATGATGGAGATAATTGATTTTAGAATATATACTATTTTTAAAAAAAGAATGGCGTAAGTTGAATTCTAATCTAAGTTGAATTACTACCATTACTACCATTACTGTCATACTTTTTACTTTCCTATCTGTATACAGTATAGGAATCATGAATTTTTTCGACCTTGAGTTTTTGACGGTTTTTTACGTTTTGGGGTCCCCTGAATCGGTTTTGACTATTTTCGGGATGATGTCTCCGTGTGCGTGCGTGCGTGCGCGTGCGCGTGTGCGTGTGCGTGTGCGTGTGCGTGTGCGTGTGCGTGTACGTGTGCGTGTGCGTGTGCGTGTGCGTGTGCGTGTGCGTGTGCGTGTGCGTGTGCGTGTGCGTGTGCGTGTGCGTGTGCGTGTGCGTGTGCGTGTGCGTGTGCGTGTGCGTGTGCGTGTGCGTGTGCGTGTGCGTGTGCGTGTGTGTGTGTGTTGTAATTTTTATATTTTATGGAATATATCTGTTATTCAAATAAAAGTTACTTACAATATTATTATCTATAATTTATGTTTTATACAAAATTTTCCTAAAATGGTCAGTATTCGAGAAATTTGACAAAATGTAAAAAAATTATTTTTTTTTAAATTGTTTAAATAAAAGTTGTTTGTAATATAATTTTCTATAATGTTTATCATATACATAATTTCTCTAAAATTGACCTTATTCGAGATATTTGAGAAAATGTGTAAATTTCGAATTTTGAAGAAAACTCAAAAACGGATAAAGGAAAAAACATTAAATTTTAAACTTAAGTTTTATTTCGGCCTGAGGTGAAATGATTAGATTTTGGACAGAGTCGGAACATCTGGGGGGTACTTTATGGAAGGCCGTTTTTATATTTTATGAAATATATCTGTTATTTACGTTTGGAAAATAATTTTTTTTAACTAAAAGTTACTTATAATATTATTATCTATAATTTTTGTTTTATGCAAAATTTTCCTAAAATTGTCCGTATTCGATAAATTTGACAAAATGTGCAAAATTCTGATTTTTATGAATATTTTTAAACTAAAAGTTGTTTGCTATATCGATCTCAATAATTTTTGTTTTTTACATGATTTTTCTAAAATGGACCGTAATGGAAAAATTGGAGGAAACGTGGTACATTTAAATTTTTCAGTATTTTCGTTTTCAACGAATATCTATAGAAAAATATTTCGAGTTAGATGTATGTGAAAAATGTATATATTTAGTTTATTTATTTATAGAGGTGCTGCAATATGTTGTACAAAATAACCGGAAAAAGCCAAGCCTATAATAACTAGATAGGAAAGTCATGTGTTGGACACATCATTTTTTTGTAGAGGTGATCATCCAATAACATCTGTTAAGATCTCCCAGATATGCAGACTCGTTCCAGAAATCCAGTCATTCTTCTCTGCTCATTTTCCACTACTGACTGCGCGATAGCAACAAGAGGTTGCTACGTAGCCCACACTTAAGTGGTACCAACAATATTTATTAGTCGTTAACTAGTTAGTAGATGAGCGTACAGTTATTTCAATACATAAAACAACGTCAAAATGCCGATGCCTGGTTGCCGTTGTTTAAAATATTACTTACTTTCATTTCTTTTACAACAGCTGGGTTACTGTAATTAAGATCAGGTTGTTGTGGAGCAAATTGGTGATAATAATATTGTTTTCGCTTCATACACCATTTCCAAGCGGAACCACCAAATTCAGATATCTGAAAATTCAATTAAAATTTAAAAACAAAAAATACAAGCATTTCTGTTTTATATAATACTTTTGGAATGTAAGATAACCTCAGATTATTTTATTTTGTGTCGCCTTTTCCTAGGAACCTAGCTCAATGGTAAAGATATATGTGTGAAAGATCAATAAAAAGATAAGACTACCAACACGGAACAAACTGAGAAGCTGGAAGTGGCAAGTACGATTCATATCTACACTAATGGTTCTAAAACAAGGCTTAGGATGTGAAATATACTCCAGATCCTTAAATCTAAACATAAAATGGGCTATGAGCAGTAGTACCAGTGTAGGTTAAACTGATCTCACGCTTTTTCGTTGAACTGAAAAGGCTTCTTAAAAAATGAATAATGGCTAATTTTTTCCAAGTTATTAGGACTAGGTTATTAAATCAATTTAACCCCTCGGCCAAGGGATTATCTCACGGGGATTATCATAGCAGCAAACGAAATTTACAGAAAGAAAAATATCATTAATAGGAACATGCTCTACGGATAGCAGACCCTGGATGGATCACGAATTTACTCAGAGATAGTACTTTAATGTTACGAAGATTTGGCAAAAATATCCATCAACAATGAATATATAGATCAAAGGCCGCGCCATATCAAAAAGTAACCGTCTTGTTGATTCACTAGCCAAGAAAAAGGCTTACTAAATACTTTTGAATCTAGCCCTTTCATTGAACTAATAACATCGTAAGTGACAAACCTAATTAATAAATATTCCCTTGGGAAATTCAAGAAAAGAGGATGACACAAAAGGCTGTAGAGTTGCCAAAGAGCTTTAAACCTATTCCGAAAACATCCCACCAAACAAATATTTGACTATCTAAAGATAATCTGCACGTGATCACTTGCATTCTAACTCATCATTGCCAAGTACGAAAGTATCTCCATAGAATCCGTACTTTGCAGGGGTACGAAGAAGAATATGAGACCATCAATTGTCTGATTCTCTCATTTATTATCAGCTTTCTATTTGAGAGTTTTGGCTAACACCGACCGTCGTCATCTACATCAGAGCTGTAGGCTGTCTGACGAGCTAGGAGGAGCCTATTAATTTAGGAGGATGCAAAATGGGTCTAGATAGACATTGTTCTGAGACAATTTACCCTCCACACGTTACAGATACAGAGACAGATGAATCTCCCAATAATTTCTAAGGATATCGTGGACCAATTAGGAGAAGTTTACAAGGATGAACAAAAATAAAATCTTACAAAATTTAATAATTGGGACTCATTATGATACGTACTTAGGCTTAATAGACAGCACAATATATCCCCTGTAGTAGTGCATCTCACTTGTTAAAGAGTTGGCACTAAGTTTGCAGCGCAAAAATTCGTATGTGTCTGGCCGCTCAACTAACTCCATATGGCGGTAAATTCAAATATAATTTTAAGGCGAAATTTAACTTTCCCGCCAAAATCGTAAATTTTCAGCCACGGAATGGCGGGAATTTTGAAATATATTCATTCGGCAATAATAATTGAGAAGTTTATTGCATGTTCTTAAACGAGCTGTAAATCCAAGGGCTATTTTTATTTTGATAGCTAAAAATATTACTAATTCTTTTATTGTTAGCTATTACAATAAGAGCAGCATTTGGATTAACAACACATTTAAAAGAACATGTAATATACTTTTCAATTTTACCTGAATCACTTATTTTTTACCTATAGAGGTTAGATCTGAAAAAAAATTGGCTCTGGTAAAAAAACAAAAAATTGTATAAAGTATTTTATTTGAAAAATTATAAAACTTATTTAATTTATTTTAAAGTCGAGAATAACTCTAGCCATATCCATTTTACTGAAAAAAAAAAAAGAAACTATTAAATGAAATCATTTAGTTATTAAGAGATGTTTGTGATAATACAGTGACAGCTATCGAATGTTGTATAATACGTTTTGCTAATGTTCAAGTAAAAACTACAAAGAGTTAGCATTAGTGGGAGAAGGAATAGAATACTATGAACGTAGCCAGCCGGCTACGTGGGGATGCATAGCACCGTGTTCCTGTTCATATTACAACAGCACACAAGGTAACATTCATATTATTCGTTTCCTGATCGCACTAATGCTAACTCTTTAGTTTTCTCTTCGATGCTAGCTAAGCGTATTGGAAAGTGTTCATTAGCTGATACTGTATATAAATGCTAAAATCAATAAGAGAAATAAAAAATTTTAGTTTAAATGGACACCTACTTCGAAAAAGAAGAAAAACTGAAACAGTAAATTATTATACTTGAATTTTAAAGGCTGTTGCCACTGGAAAACTATTATCTAGGGCTTGGATGACAGCCATAGGACTCTGTCCTTGAATCGTGTCCATAGGAAATCATAAGATCTTAGTTAAATTATAATATTAAGAGGGTATATATTAACTGAAAAAATATGAAAAATTATTACAAACTTACCTTAAAATTGGCACCTATATTAAAAGAAGGCAAAACGGAAACATAAAATTGTTGTACTTGAATTTTAAAGGATTTTCCCACTGGAAAAGTATTATCTAGGGCTGAGACCCTTAGATGACAGCCATAGCAATCCCTCCTTGAATCCTCTTTTTCAGAGTTTGTTGTACGTTTTGCTTTCAATAATAAATAAGTAAGCACTTAATACAACACAATAAATATCGCTTAAACAAAATTAATAGTAATAAACGGTATAAATTTCGTAGAAGAAAAAATAAAAAAATTCTCACTTGTCAGTGCTGACACTTCACGCTTCGCTTGTCAAAAACTTCGTCTTCAACCAATGAACGTGCCGATCTCAGACGTGTCAAAATTCAGAACGATACTACCACCATGTGGCTCTGTGTCTGGCCGCAGCGTAACTCAAATTTATTTCTTGAATCCCAGTAACATTACTATAGGGGATATATTGTGATAGACAGCTGAGGAAGAGTAGACGAAACAAGAAGGATTTCGTGGCGACTCAAAAATATTTGCACGATTGTGTAAAAGAAAATAATATTCAGTTCTCACCCAGTTATTTGGAGGAGTCCCTTCTTCTCCATCACGCCAAATATAGAAATCTTCGAAACCTGGTGTTTTGTTTTCCGATTTTATAAACCACTCATGTTTATTACTGGTATGATTTGGAACGAAATCCAAAATTATTTTGATGCCCAGTTTTTTTGCTTCTCTTACCAGTTCTTCAAAATCGCTCATATTACCGAATAATTCATCGATTTTCCTGTAATCATCTATATCGTAGCCTTGATCGACTTGAGGGGAACTGAAAATTGGAGACAGCCATGTTGCAGTAACACCAGTTTCTTTCAAGTAGGGAAGTTTACTGATTATTCCTGTAAATAAATTTGATCTATTAATATATATTTAACATTATTTACTATAAGAGTTAGCCTATTTAGGCCTTTAGTTTTTTTCAGATTTTATGTTAGAAGTTTTATAGCTTGTTTTAACTGGGTGACCTTGAGCTTCGTATCTTTTTGTGCTATTTATTTTGGTAGTTTGTAAAACGCATAGCTTGGATGTTTTGTATGTTTTGTCTTAAATTGCTGTAGATTTGGTTTTGAAATAATTGTATATGCCTGCTGAAGTAAACTTTTTTAAACTTTTGTTTAATAAATTTAATATATTTTCTTTTCAAATAATAAAATTGTTGAATATTTGCACAATCATAAATTTAATATTTATTTTATCTCATGACAAAATGATACCTATATTCTATAATATTAAAGGTATGTGGATCAACTTCGGTATTATACAATTTTCGATTTTTTTTTTATTTATTAAATAAACTTTCTGGTTTTTACTATACAACTAAAGAATGTAAAAAGATCCAGTAGATTTTTTTCGGTCATTGCAGTGTTACCCAAAATGGTTCACTTTTCCCAATTAAACTGTCCTCGTATCTATTACGGTTTTTAATATAGAAATGTTGACACACACTGTGCGACTGTAATTTATATTTTGTTTTTGTTCCAGTGTCGATGACTACTACAGAATAGTCATGTGTTTTGTACCCAAATGTAAGTACTATGCAGTGTTTCCAACAAAAGACGTTAACGTAGTTTCAGAAACAGAAAACTGCGTAAATAGATACAATGTCATCAAAAAAGATTTCACAGAGTGTATACTGTAAACTTGGTATACTATAGCTACTTTATTATTATGACTTTTATTTAAAATGGTACTCTTTTATATGAAAACCTTTGAAATTAAGCGACGCCATCAAGAAATGGGCTCTTGTGGCAATGATATAAAGTACTGTGACGAAGTCACTAAATTTTAATTTTAGTTAATTGTAAAAATGTATATTTTAATTAATTCCCGCCTGCTAACGTTTTGAAGTATTTGCGTATGTCAGGAATTCCCATTTTTAAAAAATTGCTAGTACCCTCGTAGATTAAAATATTTCCGTATTTTCCTAAATCCAAATGGGGATTTGTAGATTTAATTTCATGTCAATTATGTAGAGGTAATTGCCAAGGTTCCGGAAGGACATTTTTTTATAGCAGCCACTGGTAAGAGGCGAAAAGGGAAGAGGTTAGAATGAACATACACGACACCACGTACTTTGATTTTCTTTTACTATACGGAGAATGGTCGCACTGCGCAGCTTTCTGAGTGCCTTTTAAAAGGAGATAGAAGACTCCGCCATTTTGAACCCTTATTACGTGTTGCCTACATCTTGGCGCAATATTTTTAATAGGTGCGTTTTAATCATCCGCTTCTGCTTCAGAATTGTCGTAATTTATACCAAAGTATGCTGCCTGGGTACTTTTATAATTTGTTACTATTTATTTACAGTATCCTGAATTCTAACACCAATGTAAGGTTCATTTATTTAAATAGATTATTTATTTACTTTATAATCACTAAGACATTTATTAACTCAATTTATTTAGACTAAATACAACACTAATTTATATTTTTGACTTCTCCAAATTAATTTATATAAACAATATTTATCTCAACAACTCGATTTCTAACTAAAAACTGACTTATAATAACAAAATTGGGCTATTTATATAAAAATGTGGCGCTTCAGACTTGTTATCGAAGAATCTAGACACCACCTTCACCATTTCATAGACTGGGCTAAACTAAGTGCCTTTGCTAAAAATTGTAATTTCGAGATGCTTCGTTGTAATGTCTAGTGCATTTCAGAATCAAGATTTATGTCAACTCTCGGGTTCTTCAGACGTATTATTGAAGGGATTTCGGAGCTTGACTTATTTTATTGAATATTCTTAATAACAAGGAAAATGGAGGCGATAATAGGCCCACATAAGGTAAAGAGGGACTGAATGGATTAGAGCATGATCGGACTTGTCGAAAAGGCTGCCATGACACTAGCTTGAATATGGTATAATAGGACATAATATTTTCCAAAATATCCATTAGTTAACCCAATTTTGTGACCTACAGAAGGTATTTTCAAAGAAACAAAAAATAATTTATTCATCCAATATCAAAAGCTACATTTCAGCTATTAATGGCTGTTGAAAATTTTGGTGATGCAGCACAGGCTTGGAAAATATTTTATTTCGCAATAAATTATCCTAGTACATACCTGTTCTTTGGTAAATTTTGCCATCATTAAAAATAAAAGGACATTAAAATGTACACCTTTAAACTACAAATCTTTAACTAGAAAACATTTTTCTTCCAAAATAAAATCACCTGGTATTCAACCATTTGGTGAAATTTTTTACTGCACCAATTAGGTTGATTTCTGTGCTTTCACAGACTCAAATTATTCTAGAATATCTGAATTAAACAAATCGTTATTAAGAGAAACAAAACTTTGTAGGAAAAATTTTAAATAATAAATGAAACAAAACATTCAAGGAAACACAAGTTTATATGGTTACTTTTCTTAGACTACAAAAAATTACGTCACACTACCACGGTCAATAAAAACCTGAATATAATTATTATGTTTAACTAGACATGCTGCGGTTTATTTTTACAATTTTTAAAATAAAATATTTCATTTTTTTAATTGAAGTAAATTTTTGCCTTGGAGTTGATTGTTATCGTCATGGTTATGGATGAAAAATGAATTTACATTTTTTATAACAAACAAACTTAGGAATTTTCTAATCGCTAGTAAACTATTTACCTATATCATAACCATATTTTTGTATTTATATTCTTTATAATTAAATTTAGAATTGCTAAAATAATGAATTTAAATTGAAACAAAATAATGTTTAAATTTTGTAAAAATATTTAGGTCTAAATGGTAAACAAGTATATTTTGAGCCAATGGGGTATCCATCTGGAGTTCTACAACTATTCTACAATCTAATAAGGCTAAAGGTTTGCATTCTATGTGCAGTAACTAAAGCCAATAGTGTTACTAATTTTTCTAATAATTTCATTAGAGGAAGTTCATGATTGGGACACCAATCTTTGAAGGTATTTAGTACCAATAATGGGTTCCAAGTTGAGTCGTACCTTGGCAGAGAAGGTCTTAAGTTACTAATGCTTTTAAAAAATCTTTTGACTCTAAAGTCCACAGCAATGTCCGGTGATAAAATTAAAGAATGTGCTGATTTGTAGTTATTTAATGACCCGTATGTTGATCCCTACTGGAACCGTTTTTGTAAAAATTTTAAAACCTTAAAAATATCACCCGTGGAAGCGTCTGTTCCCTCTGACATACAAAACTTCCACTAAAGTTTTAACCCCACCGTATATTGTTTTAAGCTAGAAGTTGAAATGTATGACAGCATAATCTCAATAATATTGGATTCCAGGCTCTTTAGGGTGAACGCCTGTTGGATAAAAATCCTGCCATCAGGGAAGGGTTTCTTGCCAAGGGGTATGGAGACCTGTCAACAGATAGTAAAAGTAAGGGAATACGGGATCAGGGACGAATTTAAGCAGTTCGGAAACTTAAAATACTCATAAACAAGGGCCACCAAGGTTGGGTAGTCCAAAAGGGCACTACTACTACTTTTTAACTATTGTTTGAAACGCCCCATTATTTAGTTCCCACTCAGTCTCTGGAGACCTCCTAGATTCAAAGTCTGCTTCTAAATTATCTGTTAAACTCATATAAGAAGCAAATATGTAAATACCACGAGCTTCATGCCACTGCCATATTGTTCTTGCTAAAGTGTTGAGCTTGGGGTACCTTTTGTCTCCTTTTTTGTTTATATATGATATAGCCGTGGTGTTATCAATTCTGAGAAGGACATTACAATATTTCTCTTCGTTTACAAAACATCTTAAAGCAAAATAGGCAGCCCTCACTCTTAAAAATTTATATGGTGTGATTTTTTATGATCAGTCCAGCTGCCCGAACCCCTTTGGTTCTTATGTACTGCCCTCCAACCTGATAATGACGCATCAGAAAATATTTCAAAAGCAAAAGAAGATTTAGTGATGTATTCAAAGCTTGTTGGGATATTTTGAATCCACCATTTAATATCTAACCTAATACACTTAGGTATAATCATTATAGCCTCATAATCATTTGATCTTTTTAATGCTGCAAATTTAATTTGTTTTAGGATTTTAATGTAAACCCAACCGTATCTGACTCCTGGACATGCAGCTACCAGAACGCCTATTAGTCTAGAAAATTCTCTAATTGAACAGGAATACATGTCTAGGAAAGAATTGAGCAAACTTAAAATCCTTAACCTCTTTTCTTCGGTAAAAGACAGTCATTAGTGTCGAATTAAAATTAAACCCTAAGAAATTGCAGCTAGTGGATGGATTGAGGTTACTCTTCTCCATGTTAATTATAAAACCTAATGTTTAAAGAGATTAAGTCTCTTTAATATTTTGTTTACAATGTTCAAAGAATTTTTTCAACAATATAAAATCATCTAGGTATACTACAGATAGCAAACCTTTAGCTCTAAGAGTGGATATCACAGGCTTCATAATTTTTGTAAAAACTAGTGGAGCAGTGCATAATCCAAATAGGAGACAACAAAATTCATATAAAATATCATTGAAAAATAATCTTGAGATTTTAATATTAACTAAAAAATAAGCTTCTTTTAAGTCCAAAGTTGCCACAAAACAACCTTTGGTAATTAATTTTGCTACTGTACTTTTATCTTCCAACTTAAAATGTTCTGTTTCGATGAACTTATTCAGATTTTTTAAGTTTATAACTAAACGAAATTTGCCATTTGACTTTTTTACTAAAAAAATGTGGATATGAATTCTGCCTTATATGGCTTACAAGGGCGGATGACCTTAATTTCAAGTAGATGGTTTATTTATGATTAGACCTGCTGATGTTCAATTAAAGATCTGACAGGTTCAATGGGAATCATATTTTGTATGGGTGGAGAAATAAAGTTTAAGGAGT